AAGCAAAACTGTCATTTGATAAACACTCTCAAGGAATGCATCGGAAATTTCAACCAAAAATAGATTAAATGGATTGTCAAATTGAATATTCAAAAAAACTACTCTAATAAAATCGTTTTCTTGGGTGTGGTTCTCATGGGGAGAATGGAGATAGTAAAAGGATTTTCTCGGATATCCGCTGTGTTTGTGGAAGAGTTAATCTGCATTATAATCACACGCACAAGCGTCACAGAAACTCGGCCAGGCAATTTGATTCTTGAATTGTCCTAGGGGATGATGGATCGGTCCTTTGTAACATCCTGATGATCCTCGCACAGATGTATATCCAGCAGGATGTGGAGACCCCCTTTTTTAATGTCCAGGCACATAATTTGCCCGGTTATTATCGATTGAACTGAATTTTTAGCCCAGTGCGAGGCAAAATCGACTGCCTTTAACTGTCAATATAGATAACACTGAAAAATTCTTCCGTTCCTAGAAATTTTTTTGTTTCTCTACGTGAACCCGAAAAGCCGAGGGGCTACTCACTCCATAATTGAGTGATGCCATGATTTCGAAATTAAGTCGATTTTGGGTGATTTCAGTGATTTCGAGGGTCACGGGAGGTGATTTCATGATTTCATTAATTCGAAATCAGTCATTTCAGAAAAATAAAGTTCATAAATAATAGGAATAGGGCAAAACGGGTTGTGTCAAATTATGAAAATCAAAACGGGCAACTAATAACGAATTCGTTTGATTCCACTCCGCCAATCTTAAGCTAATGACGATGAAAAGCGGTCCATTTTACCAATTACTATGGCACTAGTAAATTTGTATTAGTACGGCATTTTATTATCATCGTTGGCAAGCGTGCCAATTTCAAAATCACGAATTAATTGCACGGTTCGCACTACGCCAGTGCGCCACTGATTTCGGTGATTTCTTTGATTTCAGGCGATTCACGCAATTTCGGAGATGATTTCCAAAGAGATTTTGGAGAGCTGAAATCCCATGATTTCAGTGATTTCGGTGATTTCGGAATGATTTCATGCCAGAGTAGTGCCGTGATTTCGAGAGTGACTAGCCCCTCCCGAAAAACATTGTACATTAGGTACGACAAACGTACGGCAATGTCTATTCACACGCTCCACGGCAACTTTGACCGTGTATACACACGGGACGTTTTCCCGTGGATTCAAAGTAATTTCTAGCGTTGCTGTATCGGAAATCGTGGGCCCTCAACTTCTACTTCTCAAATTAAATCTAGACAATAAACTAGACACATCAAATCAATTGATAAGTGATATGCAGACCGTAGACTAGTCAATAATTTTTTCAAAATATTAATTCGTTGAATACGAATATCAGTCTAGATTAACGTAAGTAACGTAAGAATTCAAAACCAGAGTTGTGACAACATTGTCCAGTGGGGTCTAGGACTCTCCCCCGATTGGGAAATTATCCTTAAAATCAATGCACTATATTTCGGCACCCACTCCTGCACTCGGACCCCATTAGATAAATACGAATATTGTTGAGAAAATGTTCACATAACATGTAAAAAACTATTTATTTCATCTTTTATTTGCGTTTAGTCTAGTAAAATTGATGTGGACAATTCAAATTTGAGCTCCCCTAGAAGAATTGTATTCCAGAAATATCAAGGTGTTTTATACCTCGTATTTTTCCATTTTCATGTCCACTTGACGCTAACTTGCAATGTTTTAAAATTATACTCATTAGACAGAAGTATTTTTGTCTTTAAATAGTCAAATTAACAATCAACAGTGACTAGATTAGGTAGTTTCCATAAATGTGTCTGTTTCAGAAAAGAAAACACAGTTCGATACATCTCGTACGTTAATTTAGACTGATATTCGTACTCAACGAATTAATATTTTGAGAAAATTAGTAACTAGGGTACTGTCTGCATATCACTTATCAATTGATTCGATGTGTCTACTTTATTGTCTAGATTTAATTTGAGAAGTAGAAGTTGAGAGTCCACGATCTCCCGTATATCCACAGTAGAAATTACCTTGAATCCACGGGAAAACGTCCCGTATATACACGGTCAAAGTTAGCGTGGAGTGTGTGAATAGATACTGCCCAACGTACAGCACGTTTGTGTACATTCTTTCGAACTCCAAAATAGATTCAACTCTTCATTGAAATTATATCATTTTTAAGGGCCATTTTGCCCTACTATTCGGAATGACGTCAATTGTCCCACTTGTAATCTCGTATTGTGACATATGCGCCCACTCCAAGATAAATTGAAGCCTTTGAAACAGTAATCTAATCATCAAATATGGAATGCATTTAATAATCGATACATTCTGCTCACATATTGCGTAAATGAAAGCTTACATTTGGTCTTCCAACTGTTTGACAATGCGATAACTGAAACGTCTATATTCCGTGATAAAGTCATGTGGCTGGATTAAATCATTGAAAATTATCGAGAGTCTAATTCGCTAAAAGCCTCTCGTTGATACTCAATATCATTCGATTTATTTAATCCTGAAAACAAAATTATTCACCTCTTTCGCACACATGACGTTTCCTGCTGGAAGAAGACTGACGTAAACTTTATAAATAATAAATTCGGATGAAAAATATGGGAGAAAATGTAAAAAGAGTCGAGGGAATGGAAAAGCAGTAAAGAACTCGCGGCAGTGAGAAGCCGAAGTGATGTTCTGTGTCGCTGAGTCGTAAAACTGCAGGGACCAAGGATCGCACATCTCCTACAACTCTTATTAAACCCTCGTCCTGCATATTGACGGTTATTGATCATTCTTTTTTCTTCAGTGAACTGTGGATTTTATGGTGGACCATTGAATTTTTTTTTCTAAAAATATTGCGGGGTATTATCTAGAGTCTAGGGACTCTTGGAGTTTCAAATTTTTATAGCTTCATTCTTTGGAGGAGAAAATACATCGAAACGTAATGTTTCGTTTTAGCACTCGACCTTGCTACTTCGTCATAATTTGATCGATTAATCGGGTTCGATAATCTTTGTAATTGGGCCTCATTTAACATGTCCAAAATGATGTTTAGAAAACTATTAAGTTCTGCATGTCAAATTCATTTGATGATGGAATCGTCAGTTTTTTTACATTTTGATGGTAATTTGTTGTGTGATTATCTGGAGTTAATATCATTCTCTCTTGTCACAATGGTCGCATATTCTGAGCTGCTATCGATACAATAGAAGCCTTGAGCAACGTAATATGGTAGAGACTCGAAAGGTATGATGGAAACGGGTCATTTGAATTCGATTTGGGGGGAAAAATCATAAAATTTCAAATTGCTCAGCAGCAAGACAACGGGTGTTTCCAAAATTACTGGAATTCCCATTTAATTGAAAATACAATAATATATTGGGTGCAGTTGGGGAAAAAGTAAGTCGACCATGGTAACGCAGATAAAAGGGGATGGGAACAAAATGTAAAGAACCGAGAGGGTATAATATGGATGAATAAAAAAATCCAATAATATATTCACCCGAATTTTCCAGATTTCTCTGAATTTTCATACCATCACTGAACTGAAATTTAGTTTTCATACATTTATCCATCAAATTGTGAATTTTCAATGACAAAATTTGTTGAAATTTGAGTGGAATTCTCATGTGCTAAATCTCCCAAAAACTCTAAATTTCAGTTGAAATTTCAGCGAAAAATGTTCAACAATGTTTGTATATTCTACTCTTATTATCCTCTTAATTAATTTATTCTTGAAACTGGTATTCTGTAAATATGAAATGTGTTCTTTTGACCCTACAATTGGACTGTGGACTGTTGGGTCTGTGTACAGCAATAAATAAATAAATAAATGAATAGTATGGAAAACAAAATTTGAATTTTTGGAGTGACTCACCGATCGATGAAACGTTCGACTGCAGCTCTGAATCTTGCCTGAAGAACTCCCAAGATCTCCCGTTTTTTTCTCATCCCGCTCATTGGCACTTTTCACAAACACTAATTCCCGCACTTTTTCACTATTCCCCACAATTAAAAAAGTTAACTAGGAGAGGCTTAGGCAAAATGGACACTTTTGACATTTTTTAAAATGTTTATAATTCAGGAACAAATTGATTGATTAATATCAGTCTACGATCATCACAAATGGGAACAATTGCCCGTCCATGCAAAAAAATATGCTATTTCATCGAGAATTAAATGAGTTCTCAAAATTTCAAAAAAAGTCAATAATATCTATTTACCTCCACGAGCCCCTGCCTTTGAATTCACCCAGAAACAAAATACAAAACCCCTGAGGATAGCACCATCACCCATCAAGCGGCATCTCTCGTATTCATTATAACACCGGCAACAACGAAACTTTAAAAAACACTCCCGCACTCTCACCAACTCCAAAATCATAATTAAAATCAATCGCGTTCATTACCCCCCTCCCCCTCAGTTTACACTGCAATCCCATCTTTAATCCATCCAAAAGTCAATAAACCTCAGAAAACTTACGAAATCCTCAGTCCATAGTCCAAAATTACACAAAGACCGCCATCTCACGGCATCACCAACATGTCGATCACACAGAAACGATAAGGTGAACGATGAGTTCACCTCACGAACTTCCATTCCTTCCTCGTCATCGACTGACCTTCCCTTCCCTTATCGCCATTTACGTCGATGATTTAACCTTTATTTCGCTCAAAAAGGCATTTAGTGGACACCAAATCTCTTGTTCACTACTAGGGGCCAGTCGCCATCTTCAATATGCGCGACTTGCACAGGGTTTTGCCCTCTCAACTTTCTAGACAATCCAGCGCGTCGAATTCACCAAAATAAACGCCGAATTTGTCACAAAATAATCTCTACCCACGACTATCAATCTATTCTCCCGTGATTAGCAATTATTTTCACGGTTTAACCCTTAATTTCTCCAATACTAACCAGAGCGAACGCCAAACTCGGTTCAGTCCTCAGAAGCGGCCGCCATTTTGAGCATGCGTGAGTGGCGCGCTGCGCATGCGCAGCGGTGTTAGCCTCACGTTACCTGCTAATGGTGACGTTATGCCATCGTGCAATCAGCTGATAGTCCACTCAACAATCCCAAATAAATTATTTTTCCAGTAAAAAAAAAACAACCGCATGTGCATTTCCACGATATTACTCCGAGGAACAATTTTCCAGCCACTCATGTAAATTTTTGCCATTTCGGACACTCGGTGAGTCTTCCCTACGCTTATGTAAACAAGTGCATGTAAACAATGTGTCGAGTGTTCGATACGAGGCATTCAAATGCATAATCAGTTATTGGTAACTCTGGTGATTCTTGATCGTTGATTGAGTTATGGATCAGTGGGAAAATTGAGGTTTTGAGATTGTTTGCTGAATGAAGTTCTTTGTAATGTGAATTATTCGTTTATTTTGAGTCCAGTGGGATTGTTGGGGGTTGAGCAATGGGTAATGCAGGCAGCAATCAGCAAGTTGGTCATCATCATGGCAGTACAGTGACCAAAGACACTCACAGACACAGCAAAGAACAACCGCCGCCTTCGCCTAGCAAAGAGGGGCAGGCATTTACTTTTGCTAAGAAACCTAGCCAAAAGCTTGTCTTCCAGTCGTCCCATGAGGAGGAAGAGCCATATTTTACTAAGGTACTGTTCATATCTTATGTTGAAACAGTAATCAATTCTAAAAAAAATTTTTCAGTCGTTTATTCAATAAGTCGACTTATCTCTTAGGGGGATATCTCGTAATGACCCTTTTTGTAACTCTCAATTTGTTTTACAAAAAAGGTTGTAACCAAAATTTTGATATGTAGATTAGATTCCGAGATATTCGTTGAAAACTGACCAATACGCAACATCTGCTTGAATCGTTTTATCCTTATCCTGAGTCCCTTCAAAAATTAGCCTACAAGGCTAGAGCGGGCTAGAGTGGGCTGGGAGTGGTCCAGGGCCACTTTAGCCCTGGGACCAAAAAAAAGCTTACCAAAAAATTCGAATAGCCCACCCAACGACTCAAATGTAGTATTCCAATTGTTGAAGATCTTACGCCACGTTTCCGTGACATTCCCTTGAAAATTCGAGTGCCACATCCGAATTTTTTGGTAACTGTGGTTTGGTCTCATGGGTTGATGAATAGTATGCTAATTCTTGCTAGAATTTTCCCTCCTTGCAGTTATTTGACGCAAGGAATTATTTTGGTGATAATATGTCAATATTTTTTGTAACAAAAAAAAACTCGAAACAACTGAATGTTCTCAATCAGGAGGGTGATGACTTTCAAAGACCCCGATCAAACACTGTCTCGGAAGGGACTAAAGTCGCTGACAGCAAGGTCTTGCCCACAGTATTCAAGTGGGAAGGTGGTGGCAAACAGGTATACATAAGTGGTACATTCTCAGGATGGAAAACATTGCCAATGGTCAAGAGCCATGGTGACTTCGTCACAATTATCGATCTACCTGAGGGTGAGCACCAGTACAAATTCTTCGTCGATGGAGAGTGGAGGCATGATCCTGGCCTGGTACGTACATTCCAAGTGTCTTCCTCAATTTTTATCTCTTTTGTTACCGTTTTCTGCACATGACAATCGATCAACACTGAGAAAAAAAATAGTTTTACCAAATAGCCATTTACTTGAGAGTACTTATTTGTTCAATACCGTAGTTTTGTATTCGAGTCATTCCCAGGCAATTCTCATTAGGTTTCAATTATGACAATTATATTGCTCTAGAAAATGATCATATTAACAATGACCTTGAGTGAACTCCCTCAATAATTATCAACATTAAAAAATTCATCGAAATTCTTCCCTCTAGAATATAAGAAGTTTAGAAAAAATGAATAATCATTGGAGGACTTCATCCTAGGTCGCGTGCAACATAGTTATCCTCCAGAGCAATATCATTGTCATAATTAAAACCTAATCAGACTCGCCTGGGAATGACTCAATTCGAGAAATACGATTTTGAAAAAATAAATGCTTCTCTCAAGTAAATGAATATTTGGAAAAAATAATAATTATTTTCAGTGAATGAATTCCCCATGATTGGCGAGATTCAACTGATTAATTTTACTTCGCAGAAAATTGTTGATAACGGCTTGGGAGCGAAGAACAATCTTGTCTCCGTGAAGAAATCAGATTTTGAAGTTTTCCAAGCACTTGCCAAAGACAGTGAGGGAATTATAAGCAGTGCCCAAACAGAGTATGGACAGGAGATACCGACTCAGAAGCCATGGGAAAAAGTTGCTGGGCCACCTATCTTACCACCACACTTGTTACAAGTTATTTTAAACAAAGATACTCCACTATCTGTAAGTAATTCAGGCAAAGAGTTTTTAAAAATTCTTGAAAAGTTTTTTGCTATTTCATTTTATTGTTTAAAGTGTGCGAATCTACAGGATTTATTCACACCATCAATAATGTACTCTTCAACTTAATCTAAATATTTATAATCGTTGTCAGATATTTATTCCACTACAAAATACTTCACAAAGAAAACTATATTATAATAACATCCTACTAAATATATCTGTAAATACCAGGCTGAATGTTATAATAATGTTGTAAATGAGGAAATCAAAAATCCACAGGATTTTTAAAATTTCAGTAACTCAAACGCAGAAATTTCAATCCATTACTCCAAAAACTTCATGGAATTTCCGTTGTGTTATTCCTGTATTATTCAGCATAATAAAATCATGAACATTTCTTTCAGTGCGAACCCACTCTTCTACCCGAGCCCAACCACGTGATGCTGAACCACCTGTACGCTCTGAGTATCAAGGACAGTGTGATGGTTCTCTCAGCGACCCACCGTTATCGAAAGAAATATGTAACGACACTTCTTTATAAACCAATTTAAGTAACTTGAATTTTATTGCCATATGATGTGTGTGGTTTAATCGATGCACGACAGTTACGACTCGAGATGTAACAGCCTCTACGGGTCTCGTGAATATACAAATTTTAGATTAAGGAATCATGTGAATTTTGTAGGTACGAGGATAATAATGCTTAATACGATTTAAAAGAAGAATGGGGTATGGATTAACCGGGGGAGTTTGTTGAAATGGTAAAAATAACGTTTATTTCGAAATATTTATTTAATGAAAAGTGTTTTGAAGCGATTTATTGTGATTGAAGAAACATGATATGAATGAATAAAATTTAAATATCAAGGGGATGATAAATCAAATGTCTTCGCTGATTTCTTGATTTATTTGATCGAGAGTTAATTTTAATTTTACTTTTTTTTTACATCTGATCAATTAAACAGAATTTGTTCCACAAACTCGAGAGCCACCCCTGAGTCCCCAGCCACCGGGCTCGTCGCAGTCGAGTTCAGAACCCCCAGACAACAGGGATTTCGCTGAAGTATCAGCGAAAGGGGACTCCGATCTGGTTTTGAGGAAGAAATTGCCTCTGGCTGCATGGTTCACTGGTTCTCCCATGAAAACCACAGGGGACTCGTTGCAGGATCCCATTCTGAATTGATCCCAGGTGTCACATTTTGTTGCTAACAACCCTGATTCTGAGATTATACTCTCGGTGAAGTAGACGTAAGCTCTGCCGTGGCTGCAAGCCTCTGATAATCATAATTTTGATGATAAAATTAATTGACTTTGAATTTTCTGGACGTGTATTAGACTTTTATTGAAAATGATATTAGTTTTTCGTCAATTTTATTGAAATTCGCAGCTTGACGTATTTTTCAACTAAAAATTTTCAACAGAAAATATTTTATGGATGAAAATGAATATATTCTGACCTACACAATTTATTCCATTGAAATATATAGCATGAATTTCTCACGTTTTTTTCATTACATTTTATTTCTTCTCATTACAAAATTCAAGAAAAAGAAATTGAAAAATTTTAACTTAAATTTCTATTAAAGCAAATTCAACAGAATGATTTGTTGATCGAATTCTATCATTTTCTGTATACCATTCTATTGAACATTTTTCAGTAGAAATTCAATAAAATTTTCAAACGAATGCATTAGATTTTTCTATGAAATTTTCTTGACAAACTTTCTTGTAGAAATTAATGAGACCTAAAAAAGTCTCGTCATTCGCATTCGATTCAGGCATGTTTATTAAAGCCTGAAATTGGAGTTGAGTGACCTTATCTTCCTCCATCACTTGGAGATAAGGAATTGTTATCGATATAGAAGAAGGCTAAAACAAGTGCTGTTGAAATTTCGCTATCTCCATTAGATTCAGAGATAATCATGAAAAAACAGCGAGTGAATTTATTCCGCTTTAGATCTTCGGATTAACGGATGATGAAGGATGAATTAATTTCTAACCCGTTATTTCTGGCATACAGCAGCATCCGGGCTGCACAGCAACTCCACCATTGGGATAGAAATCAGCATGGCCGACTGGCTGAAGAAATCCCAAAATTCCTCCGCAGGAATGAATGACATCAACGAAGTCTGCATCTGTAGGGTCTAATTTTCCATCATTCGTGGAGATGACGTGGAAACCAGGCAGAGCTGGATCGAGACCTGTCACTCGTCCTAATTTTCCGGAGGTGGTGGCTGATGCAGCGTTTCCAGCTACGTGAGCCCCTAATGAATGACCTAAAGCCACAGAAAGATAAAAAATAACCATTTTCCAGTAAACATTTATGAATTTCAGAACTCTGTCGAGCAAAAAATCCTGGAAATGAGCGCTATTTTCACTCGTTTTGAGAAAATTCTCGTTGAACATCAAAGAAAAAAGTTCCAATTCTCAGTCAATTTTATTTAAATCCAGTTTAATTGCTGTTAATTTAGAGCACGTTTTCTTTTTTTTTTATAAAGGAATCTTGGATCTGGAATTCAGAACTCTTGGGTTCTTAAAATCAGAACATTCTAGTTCTTAAATCGATGATTGTCCTTGTTCTGCAATTAATTACTCCATGTTTCTCAATCCTTTGTTATTGGAAGTGTATCATTTGACCCTTTTAATCAATTCAGTAGCAGAGGTAAAAGTATCCAAATGGAATCAACTTTCAGCTGAGTTTTCGAGAAATATCTCCAAATTTAAAAGAGATAGCGAAATTTTTATAATAACATTTTTTGTAGCTCCCAATTCCCCCTGCAAAAATGTTCATAACAAAAAGGTTGCTATCTGTCGCAGATTCCGAGATATTCATTGAAAACTGTCCCATAGTCGGAATAAACTTGAACCGTTTTACCGCTTCAGTACTGAATTAATGTTTAACAATCGCTCCAGCATTTTATATCGAATGTTCTCAGTTCAAGCAGTTTCACAGTTTAAAAACCCAATGGTTCTCAATTTCAAATCTCTTCTCACTTAAATGAGCAGATTTTTTTCTGAAATTAATTAACCAGTTTCTCTATATCAGAATAATGCTTTTTAGAATTATGAGGTTCTTAAAATCAACTGGACACTTTTTTCCTCTGTGCATCATCGCCATGAATTTTTTAATGTCATAAAGGCATTACATTCTCTCGGCACTCGATTGACTCTCACCTATGAAGTGAATATGCCCAGGTATTGCGCCGGTCTCCTGGGCCAAGAAGTCTATGAATATTCCAGCTTGTTTTCCAACCTTCCAGGTATTCTGCATCGGCCCTAGGTAGAATGTGCTCGACGCTAGGGGCTCCCAGTCCACGAGAATTACATTGTGATCCCCCTTTCTCAAGTACGCTTCAAAAGCAAGGATTGCGTCAATGAGATTGTCTTTTCTCTCTCTACGATGGGTATTTTTACTTCATTTCTTTGCAATTATCATTTTATTTTCATAAAGAGCCATTGGCATAAGACCCATTTCAAATTGGCCAAGATAAATTTTAAATTAAACTTCAATGCTTAATTTACCATTTTTCAAGTTAACAAGACCTGCACTGAGAGCACTAGATTTCCATCCGTGAGTGATGAACTTGGTGGGGTGCGATGGGTTGAACGTAGAGTTCTTTATTGAATCGGAATTTCCGTTGTATAACAGGGTGCCATTCGGGGGTCCATTTCTCAAGAACAAAATTCGATTGCAATCATTATAAATTTCGGATCTTATGGAGTGGAATCAATTCCATTCCAAGATAAGATTTCTGAAAATATCTTGGGATTTAAGAGAGAAAGCGGATTATCTTTTAACGATATTTAGGAATATATCAGGAAACCATAAAACCATCATTCAATCATTTTTGTCAATCAATTTGAAAAAGTCATGAGTAATCAGCATCATTAATTGATTTCCTGCAAGAAAAAAATCACTTTTCAACGTTCCTTTTTCGTAAATAAATAGAAATAATTTAAGCTTCCGAAAACCTCAATTTTTTAAATATAAAATCAATTTCTTGTAAACTCTTGTAATTTCCAAAAAATATTGTTTAGGATGCAAAATTTATTGTTTATGAATTATTCACAAGATTAGGTCGAAGTCTTCAACGTTTCAATTTAAAAACTATTTTACAAATCTTCTTTTAGAAATAGAAGTTTCAACTTTTCCAGATTTCTCAAATATTTTCTAACGATTCTAAACAGAGATTGAAATTCCGACCTTCAAAATTTTAATAAGATTATCATAAAACGTTTGGTTGAGCAGAGGGGCCAAATCGGATTTTAAAGTCTGTTTTGTTATTCAACAACAACTGCTAAAATACAAAACAAAATATAACGAAAATAGCCAAAGTATTTCGACATTTTTCCGACCTCTTATACAGAACTTCCTCCAAAAATTTAGCTTTCCCTCTTGTCTCCAGAGATATCCATCAAAAACTCAGCTGTTCTAAATCTCAGTCAATTCATCGTTTTCTACTCTTGCTAAAATACCTCGTATAAAGATGAAAGTTCACAGATTCATCAATTAGTCCCCTGAACTCCGGTCCCTGGCCCTTCAGTATCGCAACCTGGGGCTGATCATTCCCGTCAGGCATGAAGATCCAATCATCCCCATATCCGTCATATTTCTCCCTCAACGGGCTCTCAGTGTATTCCGCCGAAATGATTCCAATCCCACAGACAATGACGACAAATTCTAAAATTCTTTTGCTCCCCATTCTCGCTCGTCAAAATTATCTTTATCGATTCAAACAACAAATAATAACAAAAATCTTCCAACAATCTCTCAATCAAAATTACTTCCCCTTTTTACTTATCAAAACAACGAAATTCCAGAAAATTTTGGTAATTTCTAAATTCCTTTCGAATCAGCGTCAATTCTTCTTCAATAAAAAATTACAGCATTAAATTTTGAGCAGTTTAATTCCTCTCGAATCACCAATTGATTCTTTATCAATAAGCACCTACTTCTCTCTCCCAAAACCAAATGCTCATAACTAACAAGGCAATGAAAACCCGACTGACGGTTCGCAATACGAAAAAACGTTCTTATAAGTCCCCCCCATATCAGGTAAGATTTTAGGTACCCCCTCACGCATTTTTATTTAGTACGTCCCAGTTTAGCAGTCTACAATTTATCACTGTAGTTCCTATTATCACAATAACACGGAAACACCTCTTACTGCGGGGCCTCTACTCCAGACATCTTAATCGTTCAGGTGTTACTTGCATGACTTAATTAAGTGATTATTCGTCTTATCGTTTTTTTCGCAGTTTTTAGGCTTGCTTAACTGCGTCTAATGCGATTACATGGAAATTTGCGGATGAATAAATTTTTATGAAGGACAAGCAGGACGATTCTAACAAGTCCAACTCATTTTCTTTGCTTTAAGTTTAAATTTGAAATTCCCTGAGGACAAGATGCACTTCTTAAGTCAAACTTCGTGTTGTGGATTCTACTATTTTTATTTTCGTGTGCGCTTTTCTTTTCTTTTACTGTTGAATCTTCATTTTATAATGCAAAAGACCGGCATCCACTAATTTATACATTTAAGAGTGCAATAAAATACTACACTACACTTCCTTTTCTTGCTTCGCAATTAACTGTTAAATACTTTTACTATAATTACATCAATTCCCGGGAAATCCAAGTATGTTAGTTCCTTTTTCTCACTGAAATCTCGTTGTTGAACATGAAAAACATTTTGCAATTATTTTACTTTTCAGATTGAGGAGAGTTGCAAGGGTTCTCCGCTTTGAAACGTTAGAGAATTTTTTGGAAAGTTTGAAAACAAATTAGAAGGTCCATTTTTTGAGAAAGATTAATAAAATCATTGAGAAAGTGCAATTTTCGAAGACAACCTTTTTCTCATCACACCTTAAGGATATTTTTTCTAAGTCTCAACTAATTGGCTCGTATTCAGAATTTCAACAGTACAGAAATCGATTTCATGAGAAGAAACAGATTTCCAAAAGTCCAAAAAATTATCCCCTTTTCTTTTCTTTTTCTATAAATTTTATTATACGAAAATTGTTCAAACGTTATTGCTTACATTATTAAAGATAATTAAATATTTCAATTTAAATGAATGCATTGAGACGGACAATTTACATTTTTCAATACCATGTCTGTTTATATCGAAACGAAATCCCAAGAGAACGAAAAAAATCCTCTCAATTAATTGTAGGTGAGGATCATGAATGATGTGGAATATTGGTGATGTGCCTGCCTGCTCAATCTGTTATCTGCAATTGAGAAACACACCCGAATTATGTTCTATCTAATCAGTCGAAAATTATTCTGTTTCAGTCGTCTATCTAATCATCAATCAGTGAAGAATGCTGGGATTACCGTCATAGTTGAATCCGAACTCGCCGTTACCGAATCCTCCGATCAACGGAATATCTGGGAATGTCTCCTTGAAAATAGTAGCCTCGACATCTGGTAGACCGTGCATACCCTCTCCTCTGCCAACACATGCGAACATGAGTCCCACAGTGTGTTTCATCGGTTGAACACTCTTCTTAAAATCCGCAAATCTCTCTCTGATTTGTTCATTCCTTCGTTCATCATTCTCTATGACAATTGACCAACTCTTTATGTTGGGTCCACCAATGAGAATTGCAATCCAGAGGACATTTTCGAATCCACTTGTTTCATTAACACCTCTCTTGCAGACCAGCAATTTCTTAGCTACTCCACCCCACATTACAGGTACATTTTGTCTGGTAAATTCAAATCAAAGAAGAACAATCAATTTACAAAATGTGTTAACAATTGCAGAATCATTAATTATTAATGATTGAGTGATTACAAAAATAAGAATGCCGCAAGGTATGAAGAATTTAATCAATAAATCTATTAATTATTTACGAATCAATTAGCAAGTAAAGAATTATAAATTATTAATCATCACTTTAATGAAAAAATAAAAATGAGATGAGTACTGAAAATTTAAGGAAACATCGATTTTGTTATAAATATAAAATGTTCAATGAATGAATTGATTGACTGATCTCTGTTATCTATTGATTTGGGTTGATATATGAATGCAGACGATTGGGCACTGCTTTTATAATTAAAACCCTTACTTTATGACATCTAATTCGGCAAGTTTCTCCTCATGTCTGAAGTTCTCGGCAGTGATAAGCAGCATACATTTGATTTCCTTCAATCTATCTACAGCCCCCTGAAACATGGGTTCAATGACACTCAGCCTATGTGGCTGATCCCCATTGCTCAGAACCTCCAAATCCTTATTGAGATGGATAACTTGACTCTTCTTCCCCATTATGTACTCCACATTCACTCCAGAGCTCTCTGGCAAATAGGCATAAACAACTTTGGATGGAGACCTCTCGTACTCCCTGTCATTCAACACTAATCCACTTGTGTTCATCACGAGGGAAACGCAGTTTCTGGGAAAGTGTTTACCGAAGCAATCTGCAAAACATCATGTTTGTGCCATTTTATTAAAGGATTATCGTTGATTGAGGGTAAACTGATGGAAGAGGAGGGGGCCAGAGATGAATGCAGATACGTATCCTCAGTGTTATGTAAAGGGTCTCAGAGAAGGGACTCAGACAAATTCATGCAATAAAAAAAATAATCCCGCCTTAAATTTTTGTAAACCCACTTACTTTCAAAGATATTTGCAAAAGAATCTGAACAATAATCGTCAACTTAATTCTGATTCGTCACTAGATATCCCTCTCTTTGAACAATCTATACTACAAATATTTTCAAATAAAAACGTTTCCATCAATTTATTAAAGAGCGCTTCTCTGAAATTTCTGGGAATTGTCGAATTTGTAGGAATTTCTTTCATTGTGAATTGTCGTTGAAAATTCACAATGTGGGGAAAAAAATCCACGTAAACGGGAAATTTCAGTTCAATTATTCCATGAAAATTAATGAAATTTAATGTTCAGAAATTTGCAACTTCATGATTTTTTCCCTCAAATCGAATTCAATCTCCCTCTCCTGACCATTACTATTAAACGGCCCAGAAAATTTCAATTTTTTTCCAACAGTAGAGGGGCACGTAGAGCAAAATATACGTTTTCGACTTTTTTGAAAAGATAATTTCCCCTCGCACAGAAAGGACAATTGTTCCCCTCTGCATTCACTGTCTATAGATAATTTATAAATAATCAATTGTTCATCACAAAAATAATTTGTTCGGAATTGTAGCAAATTTATTCATACACATAATTTTACGAACAACCGATTTCATGCCTATAAAATAAGCAGGGAATTTCAAAAAATAATAGTTCTGTGCGAAATGTAATTTGAATGAATCTAAATATTCATGACTTCTTTCACATTTTTCTCACGGAATTTAATTGACAAATTCGATGATTGAAAATGGTGGAATGTGTTGTGTGGTCTGTACCAAACTGTAAAAGCTGCTTGTATATTCTTAAAAAACAATCAAATATTCGTTATGCACCACCCTCTCCTATTCACCCCTGATCGGTCAACATCTCCCCAAAATTTCCATCTCACCACGAGGAACCGAGTTGGAGCCACTGAACAAGAGTCCCAGCATGGGTTTGTTGGTCAAATTGTGAGGAAATTTCGGTGTATGACAGGCTCTGAAGACATCATCCCAGCGTGTCAGACTGATCATAGGGACTCGACTAGCCAATTCATTGACAGCCACCTCCTGCCAGAGCCTAGAAGTCCATAGTCAATAAATAAACAAATGATCACTGAAAGAAACCGAAAACACACGATTCTCATCCTCAAACCTGCAAACCATCGCAGAGTTGCACAACTCCTTAGCGAAAAGACGTTTGAAAATTATAGCAACAACATCATATGGCAGGACAATGGTGTTATCCTGCTCAGGGTCCTCGTGTTCCATTTTTTCTAATGAATTATCACGAAGTGGAGGAGCCTCTCTCTCCTCCGCACGGAACCTCTTGCTTCTGCGTTCAGCTGACATCGCAAAACTTTCAAAAAAAAACGTGTTGAACAATATTTCTGAATTTCTTAAACAGTCTGAAATATTGTTTATCTATCTACAGACTTTGAAACACCCCAAAAGCCACTTATTTACACATTTGTCTACATTTAACTCAGCAATGAAAATGGTGTGGGTTGTGATGAAAATGTGTGATGAAAAAGGAGACAAAAAAACAAAAGTGGGGGGGGGGGGAGTTTGGACAATTTCAGATGGACACATTCCGTTTGGGCACGTCCTAGGGAAAATGGCGACAGTAGGGAAGGAGGTGGAACAGATGGGGCACGGAAATTTGTGGACACATGCCCGGATGGACAGATTCTGATAAAGAAAAGGCTCGGTATTGGAGATATCTTCAGGAAATGTGGTATCAGACGACATGTGTAGTGCAGCGGCTCGGTGAAAGATGGCAGGATTATTCTCATATCAAGCAGAATTACTATCCGAATCGAACTGACCATCGGCAACTCTGGGTTAGCACTGGGTATAGGTAGAGAGAGAGAATGAAGGAGAGAGAGAGATTTCTAAATGTAAACACGCGGTATTCCAGGACAAATGGGTTGTTTGTCATTTCGAAGTGCCTCAGAACATAGGTACAGATTTATCAGGGTAAGTAAGGAATACAACAGATTAAAAAAAATGACAATTTGATTATTTTGTTGGTTGCTCTCAAGTTTTCATTATTAATGATGGTTATATGTGGATTGACTTTTTAATTCCGAATGACAAATGAGATTTTTCAATTGTTAACGTTTGCTGGCAACAACCAATGAAAATACTCGTCCAATCACGATGACTCCCATTTCTCTCCTTTTTCTAGCCACAACGACCATTTGGCGGTTTTTCCTCGTGCGAGACGGACGGTCGGAGGAAGATGTTCGGGATCGTGAATTGCCAAGGCATTTGGAGTCTCTCGGGGAACCCCTCCAAGCAGAAATTACGTCATCATGAGCCTGAGAAATGTAAGTGTTACTTGAAAATGATTATTTTGGAGGATTTGGCGTTTTTAGAGTTTTTTGTCCTCTTTGTTCCTTGTGTCGTGCTAGATGGGGGATTTTCTGCAGTCGTCATTATCGATTCAATTATTCTTCCATTACTAAAAAAAAAAGAGAATTATTGTCAATTCTGTATTTTTAATGATCAGCTACTCAATTCTACCATTGTCCTGTATAATTTGTGAACGACGGATTTTTTTCGAAATACCAACGGTCGTTTAGGTGTTATGAACCAATGAAAAACCTCCGCCAGTCACCGCCACCCACAGTCCCCCGTTTCCCCCCATTTTTCGCCGGCCAAGTCATTTTGTTATTGTTCGCGACGGTAGCTAGACGTGCGGAGAGACATTTGGGACTTTGTAAACTGACGGGGCGATCGAAGGCCCAGAGTGTACTCGTCGAGATCGGAATGCCCCGGCCTGAATTCCACGAAAGATAAAAAGTGTTTAAGTGTTTAAAGATTGATCAAAAAGTGTTTAAAGTGAAGTGTTTGGGATTTTTCGCTCGAGTCGGTTGATTTTTCGGAGCACATTGATGTGTCGTGACCTTGAAGGCAGTGATTCCTTATTTTTTGCGTTTATTCTTCGAGAAACTCTTGTTGGGTTCATTCAAACTCTTAGAACATTGAATTATCGAAAATGGGTAAAAATCGATAATGAAAAAATGACAGCATTGTGTTTTTCCTTTATTCGAAATTTCCAACGGTTGTTTGCGCGAAAAATCGGCGCACCAGTCCCCCTCCCCCCAAACCATATACGTCGACCGTCTTTTGTTGAGTTGAACGGTCATTCGGTCCTCACTCGCGACGCCACTCGTTCCGCGGAGACGTCTTTGGTCTCAATTGACTCGGAAAAATACTTATGGGCTTTATTCTACCGAATTTCGGCAATCGATTGTCCATTATTTCGCGGAATAAATTGGAAAGTCCAGAAATATGGTGACGTGAGATAATTAAGACAGCAAAAGGAATCAGTGATCGGGAAAAAAAACTTCCATTTTGATTTTTTTCGATAAAAACATCTTTTTGCTACACAATTTTTTATAATTCTAAAAAAATTGTAATCATTAAGATAGTGTTTGTAAATGAGTGATGAATATCGCGTTCAGTGAAAATTCATTCGTGAAAATGTGCCCGGTAAACCCCTTCCCCTAATCCGCCATTCTTCCCGCGTTTTTCTCCGTTGAGCGACCGCCATCTTACATTATCCCGGCGGACATCGTGAATTTGCGTGAATAATTCTTTTTCTGATCGATAATTCGAGTGCCGGGGATCTGAGTTGATGAATAATATTTTTTTGATAGTGAAAAAGTGTTGAGATATGAGGTTTATCGTTGAAATAAGGATAAATCTCTAGTCATGCTCGTTTTCCCTTTCGCGTACTGAATAATTGACCGAAGGAAACACCTCACACATCACCTCTCACCTCTGAGATTTAATTATTATTGACATAATGATGAAAACTGTTGTTGACCTTTCGAAAAAAAGTGTATTACCGGTGAATTTTTGAAATGAAAAAATCGAGAATTGTGTTAGTGAATATTTATTGCACACTGATGTGCCTGAAAATGTTCGATTGTGAATTGTGAATTGACTTTCAACATTCACTTCTTGCAGATTTTTCATCCACTTTGATGAATCGCCGAGGTTGACGAGTGGAGAGAGATAATTATCTCATTGTAAAACAGAAAATGTTGGGGAAAACACGAATTCTTGTTGTGTCTAACGTGTGGAACTGAGATCACGTACACACGTCGCATGTTGACATCAGGTTCTCCTCCGTGGAAGGCCCCAGTTTATACCGGCAGCTAACGTTGGCAGTTTATTCACACGCTCCACGGTAACTTTGACCGTGGATGTACGGGACGTTTTCCCGTGGATTGAAGGTAATTTCTACCGTAGATATATAGGAGAACGTGAGTCCTCAACTTTTACTTCTCAAATTAAATCCGGACAATAAACTAGACACATCGAATCAATTCATAAGGTATATGCAGATAGCTGACTAATAAATAATTTTCTCAAAATATTACTTCATTTAATACGAATATCAGTCTAGATAAACGCGAATAGAAAATGAAATAAATAGTTGACAAATAGTTGACTAAACGCAAATCAATGATGAAGAAATTTTTGTTTTTCATTGGAGGCCAAAGCGTTAGATCTTGGATTTTTTCAGGGGGAATGTCGGTCAAAGGGTCACAAGGGTCACGAGTGCCAAAGTGTCAGGTCTTGGATTTTTCCAGGGGGAAAGTCGACTTTCGCCAAAATCAATTTTTTTAGCCGGGTGAACGTTGATTCCAACTATTTAAACGACGGACTATTCAAAACTCTCAAAAGTATGTGAAAAAAGTGAAAACTGAAAGTTTTTTTTTTCAGATTTTCAAAGGGTCTGTTTTTCCGTTTTTCTCGGGGGACAGTCGACTTTTGCCAAAATCGAATTTTTTAGCCGGGTGAACTTTGATTCCAACTATTTAAACGACGGGCTATTCAGAACTATCAAAAGTAGGTGGAAAAACTGAAAAGTGAGAAACCGTTTTTTTTGGCCCCAGCCAAAGGGTCAGATTTTCGGGTTTTCCGGGGCAAGTAGATTGTCGCCACAATCGAATTTTTTATCCGGGTGAACGTTGATTCCAACTATTTAAGCGACGGGCTATTCAGAACTATCAAAAGTATGTGGAAAAAGTGAAAAATGAAAAAAAAATTTTTTCACCGGAGGCCAAAGTGTCGGATCTTGGATTTTTCCGGGGGGAAAGTCGGTCCAAGGGTCACAAGGGTCAAAGTGTCAGATCTTGGATTTTTCGCCAAAATCGAATTTTTTAGCCGGGTGAACGTTGATTCCAACTATTTAAGCGCCGGGCTAGTCAGAACTGTCAAAAGTATGTGGAAAAAGTGAAAACTGAGAAACCGTTTTTTTTGGCCCCAGCCAAAGGGTCAGATTTTCGGGTTTTCCGGGGCAAGTGGATTTTCGCCAAAATCGAATTTTTTAGCCGGGTGAACGTTGATTCCAACTATTTAAGCGACGGGCTATTCAGAACTATCAAAAGTATGTGGAAAAAGTGAAAAATGAAAAAAAAATTTTTTCACCGGAGGCCAAAGTGTCGGATCTTGGATTTTTCCGGGGGGAAAGTCGGTCCAAGGGTCACAAGGGTCAAAGTGTCAGATCTTGGATTTTTCGCCAAAATCGAATTTTTTAGCCGGGTGAACGTTGATTCCAACTATTTAAGCGCCGGGCTAGTCAGAACTGTCAAAAGTATGTGGAAAAAGTGAAAACTGAGAAACCGTTTTTTTTGGCCCCAGCCAAAGGGTCAGATTTTCGGGTTTTCCGGGGCAAGTGGATTTTCGCCAAAATCGAATTTTTTAGCCGGGTGAACGTTGATTCCAACTATTTAAGCGACGGGCTATTCAGAACTATCAAAAGTATGTGGAAAAAGTGAAAAATGAAAAAAAAATTTTTTCACCGGAGGCCAAAGTGTCGGATCTTGGATTTTTCCGGGGGGAAAGTCGGTCCAAGGGTCACAAGGGTCAAAGTGTCAGATCTTGGATTTTTCGCCAAAATCGAATTTTTTAGCCGGGTGAACGTTGATTCCAACTATTTAAGCGCCGGGCTAGTCAGAACTGTCAAAAGTATGTGGAAAAAGTGAAAACTGAGAAACCGTTTTTTTTGGCCCCAGCCAAAGGGTCAGATTTTCGGGTTTTCCGGGGCAAGTGGATTTTCGCCAAAATCGAATTTTTTAGCCGGGTGAACGTTGATTCCAACTATTTAAGCGACGGGCTATTCAGAACTATCAAAAGTATGTGGAAAAAGTGAAAAATGAAAAAAAAATTTTTTCACCGGAGGCCAAAGTGTCGGATCTTGGATTTTTCCGGGGGGAAAGTCGGTCCAAGGGTCACAAGGGTCAAAGTGTCAGATCTTGGATTTTTCGCCAAAATCGAATTTTTTAGCCGGGTGAACGTTGATTCCAACTATTTAAGCGCCGGGCTAGTCAGAACTGTCAAAAGTATGTGGAAAAAGTGAAAACTGAGAAACCGTTTTTTTTGGCCCCAGCCAAAGGGTCAGATTTTCGGGTTTTCCGGGGCAAGTGGATTTTCGCCAAAATCGAATTTTTTAGCCGGGTGAACGTTGATTCCAACTATTTAAGCGCCGGGCTAGTCAGAACTGTCAAAAGTATGTGGAAAAAGTGAAAACTG